CTGACATACGCTATAGAAGAGCAATGGATTATGCTATAGTATGTTGGGCTGGTTGCATTGAAGTCTAGCTATAGTACTCATAATCATGCTTTCACAGGTTGAGGGAGTTAGGTAGTGAGCAAGTGAAGATGAAGAATAAGTGCTAGAGTAATTTGATTGATTTACGGTAGAGTTTGAAGATTCTAAATAAGCAATTTTAGTAGGAATCAATTTTATTCATAATTGAATATTGTTTACCTCATTTTCAGTGAGGTCTGGGTTTCTTTCTCCTAGGGTCTAAGATCTAGCCTTATGTTCTCCTTGTTTGACCCTCTTAGTGGATTAGTACTGGGACCCACACCATGTAGAACCTCAAACCACTTCTTGACTCATTTTTGTGAAAATCTCAGGTGAGTAGTTTCAAGTATTCAACTCTTAGTTGCAAGGGCTATGAACTAACATGTAGATTAAACTCATAGTTGCAAGGGCTATGAACAAAAAATGAGTTCCTATATGATCAGGAGGCATTAGAAATGCCCCTTTCGACTTTCACACAAATATACATTTACACATTTACACCACTTCCACCATGCACATACACTTCACACATTCAACATGTATAAACGTAACAACTCATTTCACTGACACTCACATTGCTTCGTCATTTAAACCAAAATTAATTTTTAAAATAATCAGTCAGATAACGTAACAGACCGCATGAGCGCGTTCATGACATCGACTTTAGCCAGAAAGGACACCCACATTGCTATGGTTCCGGGCGTGTGAAAATTACTTGAAAATTGATGTAAACAGTTAATTATCTAAAGGATGCGAGTTTAGGTTCGTTCCGGGTTCGAATCGGGCTGAACACGGCTAATCACCTTAGCTCACGTGATTTCGAATTTCAAATTTTAAATCTCAGATAAATCATTTAATCTCGTCTTGATTGAATATAATTAAGTACTTTGATCTTCCAATTAAACGTCCTACATAAATTGAAACCTTATATTTCACTGCCTAATGCCACATAACGTCTCTCTGGAATTCCCGATATACAAAAATCGCGTCTCCCCCTTCCTATGCTCCGGCTCCTCATTCTTCTCCTTCCCCTCTAGACCGAAACATTTGGCCTACCTCTTCCTCATGCTCGAAATGCCAAACTCGGTGAGCCCCGTGCGACCAAATCCTCGCCTCTACTTGCTCCTCTCGTTCCTGCCTCCTTCCTCCTTGCGACCAGAGCCACTTCCCTCTCTCGCACAACCACCCCCCACACGCCTCGCCTCTATGCACCGCCTCTCTGTACCGAAGCCCTCGCACGCCTCGCTTCTCTGCACTGAAGCCCCCGCCTTTCTCTCACGCTCTCCCAAAAACCTTCGTCCATTCCCATTCGGCTCTCCTTTCTCTACATCGAAGCACTCGCCTGCTTCGCCTCTCCCCTTCGGCTCTCTTTCCCTCTGCACCGAAGCACTCGCTCGCTCACCTCTCCCTTTCGACTCCAAAACTCTCTTACGCCGAACTACTCATTTGGCGGATTCTCTTTCCTGCGATACTTCCCTTTCCCTCTCTCCTGAATCTCTCGCTCGGATCCCTTTCATCCTCGCTAAAAGTTCACCACCTCTTCCCGTCCAAGGCCCTTGCAATACCTAGCCGCTCTTCACAACATCCATGGCCCTAACTTACCTTACGCCATACTCTCGCGACCAAACCACTCGATGCCGAAGCTCCTCCGACATCCTCTACTGCAATCCCAAGATAAGTTTGTGTCATTTATTGGTAAGCCTTATTTGGAATCTAACAATTAGCTGGCTGTTTAAATATTCCTTCATACATATTAAACTCATCTCACCATTCGCCTTGTTCTAATTGCTTTGGTTGGTTTTATGAGCTTCCCTTATCCATTGATACTGCTATTGATTATTTAAAGTTGAGCTATGTTGTCGGTTTTATTGTGAAAAAAACACGGGAATGTTATCTGAAATGCACTTTTCTATGTTTAATGGATCTTCTACTTTTACTTTTGGTTATGGCTTGTGGCTCAGCTAAGTACTGCTGTATGATTTCTCATAGTTCACAGCGGTATAATGATTTAAAATTCTCTATTTGAGCAAGAGAAGGGGGATTTACATGTAGATGAATTCTTATGTATTTAAATGCCTAAATTGCAGATTTTGGGTGTTTACATGCCCAAGCTTTCGGATTTTCTTTTATACAAACGAATTCTTATGTATTCACATGCATATATCTCAGATTTATTTTCTTACATGCCTAAGTTTTTTAGAATTGGATAAATAAGATTGGAGTCGTATGTGTTTAGATAGTTAAACTTTCATACAATTGAACTCTCACTTTCTTACATGCCTAGACATTCAGATAGCCAAACTTACAAACAAGAGAATTCTTGCGCCACCCGATTTTGATGCATTTACTTGCTTAACACAAGGTTCTCATTTGCATATACATATATACTGTCCAGTTCTTATGAGTTTACATGTCCCACACTTGGAACTTGAATACTTGCATATGTGACAAAGGAACTCGTTTGCTGCATACTACACATTTTTTGGGGAAGGTTTTAACATATCTTCTTAGGCGTTGGTTTACCCATTGTTTTGGAGAGATGTACGTAGCGTTTAGGTGCTGATTTGCACACTGTTTTGAAGCAGTTTATTTACTGGTTTGGAGCCTTTAAATGCAGATTTTGTGCCCCATTTAAGTGCTTCTTTTGGAGCCCTTAAACACTATTTTTGGGGCTGTTTACTCACTTTTTTTTTTGAGGTTGAATAAGTGCTGATTTTGAAGCCTTTAAATGCATGGTTTTTGGGGCTCTTTACGGGCTTGTTTTGCTGCAATTTTGGGGTGTTTGGTGACAGATTTGAATGCAGTTTTGGAAGCCCTTAAACACTGATTTTGAAGCCTTTAAATGCACGATTTTTGGGTCCGTTCGACGGCTTGTGGGCTCAATTTTCTGGGCCCATTTGATGACTTATGGGCTGCACTTTTTGGGTCCGTTTGACGGCTTGTGGGCTGCACTTTTTGGGCCCGTTTGACGGCTTGTGGGCTGCATTTTTTGGGCTCGTTTGGTAGCTTGTGGGATGGGCTTTTTGTTTCTTGGATGATGACCTCCATAGGTTCTGAAGTTGTTGTTCGGTACAATATAAACCCTTCTTTCTCCACGGGTTATTTTCATAATCGGGTATTATGCGAGTTTAAGTCCCAAATAATAAAATTGACAAAATTAAACACTCAGATAACATTTTCTCCAGAACGAAACCACATGATAGAATAGTTTGAGAAGTCACTGAGGGTTCTCATGATTTGTGACGTCCCCCAGTCCTTCGTTTAGACTCCTAAAATAACTGCTTCTATTTGGTTCTTTCCCACTTGATTTTCTACGTCTTTTCGTGAAAACCTAAAATCTTAAATTCTTGAAGACTAGCATCTCTAATCATTATCGAGAGTTTTCTCATGTAACGTCGGTCATTTGAGATGTAATTAGCTATAATGGTTTGCCTCTATAGGGAACTTTCAACTTAGGTAAAATAAACCATACTTAATCTTTATATTAGGTAGGGGAACTTGGAACTTAGGTAAAATAAACCATACCTAATCTTTATATTAGGTAGGCGAATTTGTCGGTCACACATAAAATGTTCGCAGACCAAATGAATGTCATGATCTTTTATTTTGCATGATTGGGTCCATCGTCTAGGTATACAATTATCTTTTGGGAAGTTGTATTATTCGAGGTATCGAGCACGATTATGCGAACTATTAGACGAATGAGATACATTCGGTCTCATTTTTCAAAATTAAAACACACTATTTTCAAAAAAAAAAAAATTTCATATACCCTTTTATATTAAATTAAACTTAAAAATTATTTTCAAAATTAAAAAGTTGACCGACAAATATTGTTATAAAATAACAATTTTGGGATGATTAAACTTAAAAGATAATTCCTGTATGAATTATCCTAATTATGGATATTAACTTTAAATAAAGGCTTTTCCCAGCAGTTAGAAAATTTAGAATGATCCTTATTTGTTTTGATAATTTCGCTCTTGATCAAAGCATAAAAAATTAAAAAGTTAAAAAGTAATAATGATAAGAAGATTTTGATTCAATCATTTATTTTCTAGAGCCTTAGATCTCTTTTGTATGGTTTCCGATTACTGATTAGCTCATCCTTATGACTTATGACAATTTCCTTTTCTTTCTCAACTATGTGATTTGAGCATTATCATCGTTAATAGTTTTCATGGATAAATGAGGTTGACAACAATTTCTTTGAGCTTTTCAAGATCTAAAGGTCATAAAGATCTATTCCTTGGATGATGGCTCTTGCCATTTGGACAATTTAAATCATGTGAAATCATAACTTTAGGTGGAAGAGGGATAAGTTTCTAATGTCTTGGCTTTACAACATTTTTATATTTAGCAACTAATACTTTTAAATTTTTCTATAAGATAATAGAATATATATATGCGACTTAAATAGGCAAAAATCACTTCTTCAACTTCCCATTCTTATTTCCCTCCCCCCGTTTCACCCGCCTCTTCTCCTTCTCTATTCAGTTTCTTGACTGGTCACTTCTTCCCGACTCCTCGCTTCATATCTCGTTCGACATTTCGTTTCTTCTCCCGGGGTGAACAGAGTGTTACAGGTAGTTCCTGGCTGTGCAGCTCATATCCACCCGACTCCTAAAAATAAAAATAATACATTACCATTATTAGAAGTTGTGTATAACATCATGGTTTTCTGTAGTGTATGGTTTTCTATCAAATATTATAAATACAAGATAACTTCATGATCCACTTTCATGTATATGGTTTTTGTTTATCGCTCAATTCTCACTAATTGATTTGATTAATTACTGCTCTATATATATTGTTTAGACGCGAATGATTCATTTTTAAATCTGTTTCTCACTTATCCTACGTAATAAGGGCAAAGTTGCTGGGCTTTGTCTGCTGTAAAGTTAGTAACCTGTCATAAAGGACACTGTGTATTTATTTTCCAGGATGGGATGCATTACATGATATATACTCCTTCAGACCCATTACTTTTTGTTGCCATCAAGGTATTACTTTTCTGAGCACTTCAGATACTTGAATTTTGACTTATTAATTATCTATCTTTACTTGCTTTCTGAATATCTCTTCGAAAAATCATTTGATTTTCCGGATTCTTGAATTTTTACTTGCTTTAGAAAGATAATGTTAATGGCCCCAAGCTTCCTTCAATTCGATTTACGTTTGTGCCTGCAGGATAAGAACGGTATTTTGCATATTGCTGAGGATGTAAGAAATATATTTAACCCTCCATTATTTTCTTTGTCAAACCATTAAAAAGGTTTTATTTTCTGTTCAAGTTCATATTTTTACTTTGAATGGACTCGTATTTGCTTTACGTGGTTTTTTTTTTGATACCTCCAAGGAAAATATTTCACTGTTTTAAAGTCATCAGATTAAGTTAACATCAAGATAATTTTTTTAATCTGGACAATTCGTGAGCATATATGATTTCTGGACAATTCCTTGCTAAAAGAACTTGAAAACCTGTGGAATTTATATTCTAATGAGACATTCTATTATGCGATAGAGTATAAATGGCTGTTAACAGTATTTTTTGTTCTTTAGCATTGAAGACCCGGAGACACTGATTTTAAGTTTCACATATTCTTTTATGGAAATGCTTCATATTTTGATTAGGAATTGTGGATACATAGAACTTTTCCCGCTGCATGGAATCAGAGATATATGCCTAAATGTGTGGCGAAAAAAATTTATCGAGAAAGCATATTGTTACGTGCTTTTATAATGTTATCTTGTTGGAGTAAAAAAAAAAATTATGCTTTCACTAAATAATTTTTATAAGATCATAAAATGTAAGTAAGTTAAGTGTTGCCGAGATGAGAATGATTAGGTGGATGAGTGGTTTTGCACTTAAAGACAATGCGAAATGATTATATCTGTGATAGGGTTGGTGTAGCTCTAGTGACGAACAAAATTAGAGAGAGTTGTCTTAGACGTTCTTTAGTTTGTTCTAGCTATTTGAATTGGGAAAATACCCATGAGGTGTGTCTGTTCTTTAGTTTGTTCTAGCTATTTGAAAATCTAAAGGCTTTATTATTAGTGTAGAATGAACTCATTAGCCTATAAATAATGACTCCAATGGCCCAGGGTTCTCCCAATGACATAAAATTTCTGGGAGGTGGGTTATTTTCTCTCAGAATTATTTTGGCTTTTTACTAAAGAAGACAATGGAGTGCCTACTCTGGCTCAACACAGCTCCAATCCCCACATTAAATGCATCACTCAACCTCGAATGCCTGGTTAAAATGTGGAAGAGGTAGTATCATGGCTTGAGTAACCTGCTTCTTCAAAGCATCAAAAGACCTGAGAAGAAATCAACTTTGAGCAGACCCTTCAATTATAACATTTTGTTGCATCCACAAATGATCCCTGCATGACTCGGTGTTTACTAGGCTCTCTTGATGTCAAAAGAGTTCAAAAAAATTTTAATTCAAGCTTTTTAAAGAGATGGAAAAATATGGATCATATTTTGCTCAAAGGTATATGACGGAAGTAGTATCATCACTTGGTTCGATGGGAGAGGTAGTATCATCACTTGGTTCGATGGGTTGTTCTGCTCTGGCAATTTGATTTCACATATATTTCTCAGAAAGCAATAAAAGGACAAATTCTATAGTTTTTCTTGCTGCTCATCTCGTTTATGCTGATTCTCCGCTGAAAGATTATTTGCTTGATGAAAATGTTCTAATAATTCAAGAGAAGGTGAAGCTAAAGATTTGGGAATTGGAGCTTCTTCTATCAAGCTCGCTCAACCTCCTGATCTGCTAAAAGCATGAGCTGATGTTGGTCTCATCTTTGTGACATCAGTGGGAAGCTTAATGAGGTATTCATATGGATTAACTGAGTCTTAGACCAATAATGATGCTGAATATTAAGCTCTAATAGCTGGTCTCAAGATAATTATCACATCACAAATGAAAAATCTTCATATTTTTGGCGATCATAGCTTCTCATGGATTAAGTGTAGGGTATTTATATGACAAATAAACTTGGGTACGTTTTTTATCACGAGAGAGCTATTCAGTTTAAAAAACAAACCCAGAATGTCACACTAATCCGGGTGTCTTGAGCTCAACACATTAAAGCTGACTATCTGGCCCAATTAACTGAAGAGATGGCTAACATAAATTTTGAGCTAATCTTTATTGATGTAAACACTTGATGTGTCTTAGAGTCGAAAGACTTACATTCCCCACTAGAAGAGAGGTCATCAAGTTCAAGCAAGTAGGATACAACTTTTGTTGTTTCTCATATTCTCTTACAAATAGTTTCTCAAGATCAACATGAAGCACTCATGGAAGAAGAACGAGATAATTGGAGATAACTCTCCATTAATTACTTCGAACAGGGCAAATTATTTACAGATAAATCGATTGCTGTACAAATCAAGAAGAGAGCCATACAGTTCGCTTTTATCAATGAAACTCTTTACCGTAGATCATTTGAGCAAATATGACTAGGATGTCTGGGGTCTGATGATAGCAACATAGATAGAGTTAATGTTCTTAAAAGACTTTGTGGTTTACACCAATCGGGCCCTAAAAAAAGCGATGAAGATCTAAAAAATGGGTTATTACTGGCCATCAATTGTTAAAGACTGCATTGAGCATGCAAAGAAATGTTATGAGTGCCAAATTCATAGTGACATAAACACTAGTCCCCTATTTCATTACACCCAACCATAGCATCTTGGTCGTCTGAATGTTGGGGTACAAATGTAATTGGAGCGATTGATCCACCATCATCAAGAAGACATCTCTTTATTCTAGCTATAACTGATTGTTTCTCAAAATGGGCTAAAACTGTCTCGTTTAGAGAAGTTACTGTTGAACAAGTGACAAATTTTTTCACTTATAATATTGCCTAGAGTTTTGGCGTACCACGTTACATTATTTCAAACCAAGCTTTTAAAAGCACAAAGATATATATCGTCTCACAAAATTGATTGGAGATATTCTTCAATATACAATCCAAGGACTGATAATGTAGTAAATGCTTTTATCAAGACACTAGTTAAGCTGCTCAAGTGGATCCTCACTAAAAACATACAAGAATGACACACCAAGATGATGGAAGCATTGTGGGCTTATCGCACAACTTATGCAACACCAACTAGAACTGCTCCTTATGCAGTGGTGTTTGGAGCTAAATCAATATTGCCTCTTAAAGTTAAGTTGCCATGACTCTGTTTAGCCGTCTAGTATAATCTTAACCCAGAAGCAAAATTCTCGTCTGAAAATGAAGGAGTTGGATGCATTGGATGAAATGAGAATTTAAGTTTAACAGAGCCTTAAATTCTACAGAGCAAAAATGTCTGAAGCTTTTACTAATAAGATGCGTTTTTGGACATTCCAAAAATGGAATTGGTTCTGGTGCGGAGAAAACCAATCATTCCCCAATCATAAGATTGATGGTAAATACGCTGAATTGGGAGGGCCCGTCCGTTATTGAAAAATATGTATTAGGGAGTAGTCCATCAACTTATCAATTTGAATGGTTAACAACTTATCCCTTCAATTAATGATCAATACTTGAAAAAGTATTACATAGTGACCAATCTAGAGTTGTGCTCCAAATTTTCTTTCAACATGTAAAAGATTTATTTCATGTTCATATGTATTTAAATCTTATTTGAATTTCTCTCGTATTGCAAGAATGCTTTTCAAAATTATTTCAAGTGTTTTCTACAAGATTGTGGGTATTTTTTAGTTTATTTGTGCTTATGCCGCTTTTAAAACTAAATTTCTCAAATTATTTGTACTGTTAAAATTTTCCCACGCAAGAATGGAGCATTTTTGTTTAGAAATTTTATATAAAATATATTTAATTTTTTGCATACAAGACAAGACTGGGTGCCATTGCTTGGATTGATTTCGTGCGTCGGAACAAGTTCCCCAAATATGTTGCTAAAATCCTCTATTTTAAAGCATAAAAAATTACTCCTAACATTGAGCCTAAACGCCGAGATCCCCAAATGTTGGCTAAAAATTGCAGCCAAACAATAACAAAGGCAATAAAAGATTTAAAAGACTGAATTTCTTTGATTAATAAAGATCATGAAAATTCAAATAAAAAAAAAACTTTTAAATTTTCAAGCCTCGACAATTCAAGTCTAAGGATGCAAGTTGTATCACAGTTAGAGTCTAAGACTTAAGTGGGTCAGAGTGTCGGGCTCAACAAGCCCAAATATGATCGGATCGCTGATAATTCTTCTCTTAACAAGTCATAAAAACGGTTGTAGTGGGAGAGCAAACTCTTTTTACTTGACATGTCATAAAAAGAAGTGTTGTAGAAGAGCCCTTACCTTGTCGTCTAATGATAAGAGTTGCCTAATTCCCATATCCTTCCAATTTTGCAAGTTCAAGTCTTCCAAATCCAGGAGAATTTTTTGTTGAATTGTTGGATAAAGGAAAATCCTGAAGTTTATAAACCTAAGCTTATTATTAAGCTGAAGAATCACAAGTTCTTTGTAGTCTAAGACTCAAACAAGCCTAAATATGGTTGAATCACTGATAACTTTTTTCACTCAACAAGCCATTAAAATGATTGCAGTGAAGAAGCCCTTGTTTTAGTATCCTGATGACAAATACTATCAATCTCAAGCCTATTTGACTTCATAAGCTATAGTGAACTACATTATGAAATTTTTCTTGATCAGTCAAAAGGTCAAAGAAGAAAAAAATTCAAAAGAAATGAACATCGCTCATAAAAGCATCGAGCTAAGTTCAATGTTCTATTCAAATCGAAAATTAATCAAATCTTTCCAAATGGTTTGATCAAGTACAAAGTACATACCCAAGAACCTCTCTTCTTTTGCAAGTCCATAAAACAGAAATAATATGGTCGAAAGAGTTAGCCCATAGTTTATTCAAAAACTCGAGACTGAACTAAGAGAATCTAATTGTCAACAAGTCCAAGTAAACACTAAATGTAGGGCCGATGATCTCTTGTCACCGACCTAACACAAGTCTAAAAGCTTGGTCACAGACATACATATTTCAACAGGAGTGCGAAAATAAACTTAAATAAAGATGGAGAAACAGATTGAAGTTGAAAATGAAACATTCACTAATAAAATGGCAAAAGTTTATAAATGTTGAGATTTAATAAATTACAATCAAAATCACAGAAGAGGTGGCTGAAGAGCATGATGCTGTGTCATGATTTAAGTAAGAGTTTTGTGTTGTCTCAGCAAAATTTAGCTC